CAAATCCACAGCGACTCATGTATAAGAGAGAGTTTTATGTAAAGAAAAGGTGCATCACGAAAACATCCCAACCCAATGCTGCCCAAGCCCACAAGTCCAACATTAACCCATTAACCCAACACCAGTCCACAAAGTCCTCCACCTCACAAAACAGAGGCAATGATGCCGACTGCAGGAGGAAAGCTGAGTCAGTGAACGAATAAGCATCTCAGCACTAGCAGGGGTCTCCATACGGCTGCTCCAGCACCCAGGGCTGCATCGGGATAGGTCCATGTAGCTTCTCCTTGGGGATGTCTTGTAGGAAGGCAATCTTGCAAGCTGAAGCAGGGAACTGCTAAGGCAGCTGCACCCGATGCAACCATCACAAAACAAGAGACCCGAGAACTAGAAAGGCGAGGCTTCACCACCCATTTATCCCTCCGCCTTTCAACCAGCCCCACATGTGATTATCGACCAGGCTGGCACAATTAACTAACTCAATAGGCCTATTAACAACCCACAATAAACAGATGACCCAAGCTTACTTGCTGAAAGTGAGGAGAACTTGAAGCACTTACTGATGAAAATCAAGGATCGCAGGCTTCCTTGTATGGATTACAACTCAGTGCAAAGGAAGCCAGGGTGGTTTCGATTGTTTCATCTGCTTGAGAAAGTTGGGCAATGACTAAGGAAGCCCATTGGAATAGGATGCCGGTAACGAATACTAAAGTACGATGAAATTGCCAAAAGAACAAATAAATCTGTCACGGGAGAAGTGCAGCTTGAGCGCTCCCTGCAAGCGTGGAAGGCAAGGAAGGACTATGACCCCCCTGTCACAGTCTTTGAACATGTTATCAAGAGAGACCAAATCAAAAACAAAAAACTCACTGATATGGAGTCAATCCTGACTCCTAGGGACCCTGGGGACAGAGGAGGCTATCCGGCGGGTTTCCAAGGCTCCCTCATCTGGGGAGCAGAAAGCCTCATCTTTGTTCTGTGGACAAGGAGGGGGTTCCAACGGCTGGCCTTGTGCTTAGCCGCCCAATGCATAACCCACTCCAGCAGACAACATCAGGACTCCACGGTTACTCCTAGCTTTCTTTAAAAAAACAAAAAGAAAACAGAAATAGAAATAGAACTGCCTTATGAGGTAGTAATCCCACTCCTAACTAATGTCCGAAACTAAAAAACAAAACAAAACAAAAACCCACTGCCATCAAATAAATTCTGTGAACCAATGTAGGGTTTCCAATGTTCTCGGTCTTTCCGAGCTCAGGGAGGCTCATTTCCCCATTGGAGGAGCTACTAGTGTTGAACTGCTGCTTTGGTTCGCAGCCCAGCACTGATCCAACAGTCCCAGGGATGGGATCCAGCAGGTGCGCACCGGTTTGGCAGAACCGATACCTAATTTTTTTGTTGTTTGGTGAAATGGTTGTTAAAATAGCACTTGTAATCAGGGTTCTTTCTAAAGTGGGCAGCTGGGCAGCCACCCCAGGTGGACATCACAAATTTACATTCCTTAAGTGTTTTGAACCATCATGTGCACCACGGTGTGTTCTAAGCACCCATCATAATGTTGATTCCACCCTTAGGTATAAAAATTTAGATGGAACTATGCTTGTAATATTTATTTGCTCTTTCCTCTTTTATTGTTCTTATTTAAGTATCAACTATATGAAATAATAAACTACCTGTTGGTATATCTTTTTTTATATTTGAAATGTCATTAGGGCAGCAAACCAGCTGTTAAATCATTTGTATCCAAACACTGATCCCAACTCAACCCAATCCAAAGCCCCTGCGGCGGTTCTGACTCATGGCGACCCTATAGGGCAGAGAAGAATGGCCCCTTTGGCTCTTGGAAGCTGTAAGTCATTATGGGAGCAGAAAGCCTCAGACCAATCAGGGGGACAAAGTAGCCCCCTACACCACCAGGGCTCCTTGGTGTATCCTCTAAATCCAAACCAAACTCACTGCAATCCAGTGCATCCTGCCTCACAGCAGCCCCGTAGGACAGAGTAGAACTGCCCCTGAGAGTTTCCGAGACTAAAACGGCTCATCTGTCTCCCAGAGCGGCTGCTAACAGCTTTCAAAAGAACACTGTCTGTGTGGTTAACAACCAAAACAGCACCCACTATCCCACCAAGACTAGAGACCTAAAAACAGTGATGCAATAAACATAGGCACACTGTCCACTACTGCTCTATTCATTAATAAATGGAAACAACTGGAGAGTAAATGCACAGATCAATTGTAAGCAAATTGTGGTGCAGACCTAAAAATGTAGTATTACACTACCATAAAGCATATAAATGAGTCTGCAAGACTCATTATTACATGGATGTGAGCAAAAGAAACTACAGTTTTTGGTTGCTGAATGACCTGCCTCCTTCCCCCTCCCATCTCAGAAAGTCCTACTAGTAATTTATTTTACAATGTACTCTTAGGTGCCCAGGTTCTGGACACTACAATTCGTTTAGACTATTCTTCAATATATCATTTGCTTTAATATGCTTCCTTTTAATGCTGTAATCTGAATGGTGTTATGGTAACCAGGATGTTGTAGTCAATTTTGGTATTGTTTCTTTTATGATAAGGAATGTACCTTGCAATGCACGCTTGCTCTTCTTGAAGTTACCAGAATGGTATCATCAATGCTGTATCCTGTAATGCTCCCTAACCCTAAAGAAGAGTAACATTAATTTTGCTTTCTGCTTCTGTCCATGCTTGCCTAAGTCTTAGACAAAGGGTATATGGATTTTTCGCCTTTAAAGATGAACTGAAATGTGGACTTGGGACTGAAATCAAGAATCACTTTTAGATTCTAGCAGCCAGGTCATAATTGAATAAAGACTCTTCTAAATTATCAAGACATTGTAGTGGCTGTCATTTATTCAGACCCATAACAGGTGGACGCAGAAGACATGTGGTAAGTGAAATAAGTCAAGCATATAAGGCCAAAAATTATATGATGCCTCTTTTGTTAGAAGGCAAGAATAGATAAATAGAGTGAGACCAGTGGTCATTGGTTATCAGAGTGGTGGGAAGAAGAAAATAAAGTTCAATTACATGTTCAATCATGAAATAAAAAGCCATTGTCACCACCAATTGGGTATTCAGAAAGAAGTTTTAGAATGGATGAACCATCATTTTTCATCCATTTTTATGGAGGTCTTTGGGTGGTAGTAGGCCAAGTTTTAACGAGAAGATATACCTTAACTAACCAACTTACTTGAATAAAACTTCTCCAATGAGTCCTGAGCAGGCAGGATCTCACATGTCTAACCCTTATGCAGGAGAGTTAGAATTGAACAGGCGCCCTGCTGGTGAAGTGGTTATACATTGGGCTGCTAACTGCAAGGTCAGCAGTTCAAAACCACTAGCCACATGCCAAGAGGAAGATGAGGATTTCTACTCCCATAAAGAGTTCCAGTGTCAGAAACCCACAAGTTCTACCCTATCCTTTAGGGACTACAAGATGGAATCCACTTGATGGCAGTGAGTTTTTTGGGATTTAAAATAGTAGTCAGTACTCTCTTCCACATACCAGCTATTAGGCAAGGTATCCAAACTTTGTGAATCTCAGTTTCTTCATTGTGTGAAAGAAAACTCACAAAAGTCACAGCTTAATAGTGCAGGTGGAAAGGAAAATTGAGTAGTGTTTAACAGAGGTAGTGTATTCCTAAGAGTTAGGTTTGCTATGAACTAGCATTTGCTTTATTAGTTAGGTTTGTCACAGTTATTGACTAACCGTATAGAATAAATGATTTTAAGTCCTGAAGGGCAAAAGTTAAAAAGCACAAAATATTTCTTTTTCTGAGGTGTTCTTTAGTTTCCTGCAGTTTGGGGCTAGTAGAAAAGATTTTCTCAAACCAAATATTTCTCAAAATGTGTCCAAAGTTTAGTGCTGCCTATTTAAAGAAAGAAAAGAAACCAGTGATATTGCTGCAAGGAAATGTTGGAACATAAATAGGTGAACCTGTGACATTTTTCTTGCTTGGGTCCACAATCAGTGCTCCTGAAAGTAGCAGTCAAGAAAGCAAATGATCGATAGCACTGGGGAAATCTGCATCAGACGCCTTTAGAGCATTAAAGAACAAGGATGTGCTTTTGATGTGTAAGGTGTGCTTGACCCAAGCTATAGTATTTTCAATGGCCTCAGATTCATGTGAAAGTCAGACAATGAACAAGGAACACCAAAGAAAAATGGATGCATTTGAATTAAGGTGCTGATGAAGAATATTGAAAGTACCATGGCCTGCCAAAAGTGCATGTAAATCTGTCTCGGAGGCAGTTCCGCTAGAATGCTCCTTAGAAGCTGATGCGGAGAGCAGCGTCCTGTACTTTGGCCACGTTCCCAGGAGAGAGCAATACCTGGGGGAAAAGCATAACACCCTTAAGATGTGGATTGGCACCGTGACTTCAACAATGGGCTCAAACCTAACATTCGTGAGAACCCCCACAGCGCTGTTTCTATTGTGCAAGGGGTCCCCATGAGCCCTTATTTGAAGGCACCTAACAACATCAACGTGTTACTCAAAGCAATAAACACGATTAACTTCCGTTTAAAATAAACGAGATGCATTCTTCTCATATATTTCGCGTGAGTGAATGAAATCAAATACAATGTGAGACCTTAAACATAGGGTCTGTTCTTGAAGCACGCCTTGCAACTCATTCAGCATTAGGGGTATTTGAGTGCAAAAACTGATATAGAGATTCGCAAACATAACCCAAGTCCACCGAACTTGTGTCTGGCAACAGGTGGCTCCCAGGGGGCTCTCAAATCTCCAAACTCTGGGATGCGGCGACAAGGGCGCGTCAGCGTCTGAAGCAACTCTTGCGCCACGTGGAATCACCTGTCTGATTCCCAGCGCTCCGCTTTGTGCGCTCCCACCCCCACCCGCCGGGGGCGTCAGACGGGGATCCGCTCTAGGCTGCCCCCGAGCTGCTCTTCCGGGTAGCGTGAGCCTCTCTAGCCCGCCCGCGCCGTCCTCTCGGTGGTAGCGCGGGCGGGGCCCCGAGGTCTGGCTTCAAAGGACGTAGCTCGTGCCGGAGCCGCGGCGGCGGAGAGCTCACGCTAAGGTAGGGAGGGACGCGGGGGTGGCGTGTGGGGGGCTGCCGGGGAGACAGGGCCCCGCGTGGGGTACGGACCCGGGCGCTGTCAGACAGGAGAACTCGGGGAAGAAATGGAACAGGAGGCCCGGCCCCGCGCGGGGGCTCCCTGCGCCCCACTTCCATCTTGGTCACGGCCCGTCCCCCACCCCCTTGAGTCAGGACGCTGCTGCCGCCGGCACTTCCGTAGGTCGCGTCTCGTCGTCCCCGGAACCCTTAAAAGCTACCATTTGGGTTTGCCCAACTTCGGGATCCGCTGGTCGGCGGCGAGTGCGTCAGTGAGTGACAACTTGAGAGAGCTAAAGCAGCCTTGAACCATGTGTCCATAGTGTCGTTTTAAAGTCGTTTGGTCACAGCCCTCGTGGGTTTCTCCATCCTGGTGCCAGGAACGCGGCGGGTGCTCTTTTGGACGTACTTAGTGGCCTGCATCGTGTTGATTGAACCGGAGAACTGGGGCCAGAAGAATGGGACCGCTGCAGGGCTGTTTGGGAATCATGCGGGATCCAGGGCACTTAGTCCCATTGGCCTTGGAGGAGTGGACCTCAGGGGTGAGATTATGGCAGGGTCCGGACACCTGTGTCCATAGAAAAGGTGTCTTGCCTCGGGCACGAGCCTCGGATGATGACCTGCCCAAGGCTGATAGTGTCGAGCCCGTGACGGGTGCAGCGAAGTGGAAGTGCCCAGTGGTGTTCAGAAAGGGCCTGGAGTTATTCTTTGGCAGTGGGAGAGACAGAAAACGGTGCCCATGTAACTCTTGCTTACCGACCGCTGGGCGAGGTAGAGAGCTGCAAAACGCGATGAAAGAAACAGTACAAAAGTAGTTTGAATATGCCTTAACCACATAGTGGAGACAGCAGTGCTCAGCCTTGGAAGATGAGCTGGCACTGTGTCACAGAAAGGGACTGGACCATGCCATGCCAAACACCGGAAACAATCTAAAGACATCCACTGTGAAAGAACTCTTCGGGTGGTGTGATTACCCTGGGATGTGTGGTGGTGGGAATGGGAAGAGGTGAAAGTGTTACAGGGATGGTTACAGTTCTGTTGAACAGTGTCGTTTGGTATACAAGTTCCTTTCCAACAAATGTAAGGAAAAAGAAAGAACTATTGTTTGGACCACATGCAGAATAAAGTAGAAAGCACCTCCCATGGCATCAATTCCAGCTCAGATTGACCCTTTAAAGGGTTTTCAAGGCTGTAAACCTTGTTTTCAGCTCAAATTGACCCTAAAGGTTATCAAGGCTATATACATCTTTCAAGGCTGACAGCCTCAACTTTCTCCTGCAAAGAGGCACACCTTGGTTTGAACCACAGCCCTTACAGTGAGACATAAGTTCAGTGCTTATCCAACGTAACCATCTGGCCTCTTTACAATAAAGTAGGAGGAGAAACTTTTCCAAAATGACCTGAAAATAGGCTGGACAAAGCACTAGAGTGATGTTGTATGTTTTGATTATTTGGGAATTGCTCCTATAAAATAAAATTAGGTGTTTTGTTTCCTTCCCTCGGTTTTGTTTTCATTTTTAACCAGAGTGTAATTCATAGGACAGGTGGTAGCCACTTCGGATTACTGCCTGGAATTTGAACTGGCCAGAGTTTTCCCTGGCAGCAAATCAGTAAGTGGTTTAATAGTAGACCAAAAAGTTAAATTACTGTGTAAGACTTCAGAACTGCCTTAGCAAGATAAATGCAATTTGAGTGTGAAGCTATACTGAATTTAAGGGTACTCATGGTACTGAGTGGATCAGTGTGTACCAAACCCCCTACCATCGGGTTGATTCCAACTCACAGTGACCCTCTGTAGGATTACTGAAACTGTAAATCTGTAAGGGAATGGTTAGTTAGCTTCATCCTTCTCCCATGGAATCAGTAGATAGAATTTTTCATGTCCGTGTCATTGAAGGTTTCCTGGGTTTTCACTTACCCTCTCCTGGGCCAAACATGATGGCCTTTTCTAATGTTTGCTCTTTCCTGATTGAAACGTCCCAAGAAAGCAACCCAAAATCTGGCCATACTCGGGAGTTTCCGGGTATGTCTTTGTTCATTCTTCTATCAGATACCCCCTGCCATCCAAGGGGTTTCTGCTAACAGCAACTCTTTACAGGGCTTCTGAGCTTGTAAATAGTTACGGGGACAGATAGCTTCATCGCTCTCCCGAAGAGCAACTAGTGGGCTTGAGTGGCTGGCCTTACAGTTAGTTAGCAGGCCAGTGCTTTCCTGACAGCATCCACAGGTCTTTAGCACCAACCCTACTGCCGTCCTCACTGCCATGGATTCCCGCGCACTTGAAGTCCCTTAAGGCCCGTTTGCTAACCAGCTGACTCCTACTTCTGTATTTTCCATCGCTTAAGCTTGCTATTTCTGCATTCGTTTTCCTGCCTCCAGCCACCAGTTTCAAAATTTTGGCAGGTTGCTACCCAGGCCCATAACAAATACCTGCAGGAAGTTCCCTGTCTGTTCATCCCCCTAGTCAGCTGTGCAGTTGTGATTGGACATGAAAAGTCACCCCCTCCACTTGTGGTTTGTTATAAACCAGGGTTTGAGAGTAGCCCTTGGGACAGAGACACATTGAGCGATAGCTGACTCCCAGTCTCTGGCTTTTTGTAAAGATGATTCGACCAGTTTGTGGTCCTGATTGACTTGGAAACCAGTACACCACACTCTTAGCCACCTCCAGGGCTGAGTAGAAGTGCCCCTTCGGCTTTCTCAGATTTAAATCTTTACAGGAGTAGATGGCTTTATCTTTGTGCAGCAGAGGGATTCTTTGTCTTCTGAAATCAGTCCCAAGGTCAGCGGATTCAAACCACCCACTTTGGAATTAGCAACTCAATTCATAGCCCACTAGGCCTCCAGGGCTCCCTTCTATCAGACAGAACATCTTCATTGTAAACTGAATACAGTCATAATTGGCCTTTTTCTTAGCGAGGAGATGAAGAAGATCTTTACTTACTGGGGGATGCAGAAAATGCATAGTAAATAGGGTTGTATAGTTTAGCAAATAAAACTACATAACCACCTAAAATTTGAATTTTAGATAGTGAATTATTTTTTAGCATTATTTGGCACAGAATTAAGTTATTTTGTTAAAATTACCCATTCTTTACCAGAAGTTCATATTCACCTGAACATACTACATTTTTTCTTGTGTAATTCCAGAGCGAGATCAAACCACACCACTTTATTGCCATTAAAGAATACACGTTTTATTACAGCTAGCTGGGCCGCGAGAGAAGGCTGGCACCTGGAAAAGCCCTCCCGACCTGATTAGGGGCAGTAGACAAGCTTTATACCATAGTCAAGCCAGGGGGCTAGATTGGGAAGGGACATTTGGCAGTTACATTCTTTGCTTTGGGGCTGACAGGAAGGGTTAGAGGGACATCCGCGGGGGTGGGTCAGGGTCTGTCAGAAGTTCATGAGGGGTTTATCTGGCAAGAGTTGTGGATAAGTCAGTCCAGTGGAGAAGTCAGTCCGGCAAGCTGTCAGGTGGGGCAAGGTTAAGGTTATACAAGATGGCAATTTTACTCACAAAGTACAGTTCTTCAAGCTAAGCTGGGTTATTACACTGGCAAATTTAATAGAAAATACTTGTATCCCAACAGTATGACAGCTGAAGAATGTCAAATTGGAAAATAATACAGTAATTGTGCTTATTTCCTCATTCACTGTCAAAAACAATAGAGAGGGCGGGGGGCAGGGGGGGAAATCAAGGACTCAAGTAGAAAGAAAATGCTTTGAAAATGATGATGATGGCAGCATATATACAAATGTGCTTGACACAATGGAAGAATGTATGGATTGTGATAAGAGATGTAAGAGCCCCCAATAAAAGTATTTAAAAATAATTTTTTTTTAAATGAACAATAAAGTAAAATTAAAAGGAGGGGGGGAAGTCCTTGCAAAAACTTGTATCAAACAAGCTAGGACAACGGCTAGTAGCAGGAAGATCAGGAGTTTACACACACCTCCCTGTACTTCACACTAGCTGGCCCCTTCACACACACACACTCAGCCCATGCTCACCTGTGCTCGCAGGCTCAGTGTTCATACACCTCTTTGAAACTTCTGACCAGCCAGCCCTCGGGTTGCTAATGGAACATGTCCGTACTCAGTTCATCTCTCCAGTGCTGTATCTCCCCCCACATCCACTCAACATGTCGACCCAGGTGGTTACCACAGTGAGCATATTAGGCTGCTCACCTGCTTGCTCCCTTTAACTTTTAGTTCTAGAAAGGTTTTACTTTTCTGATAGGCAGAAAGGTAAATTGCTCAAAAATTTTAAGTCCGTCTCCCCTACCCCCCTTTGCAGAGCTTTCCTACAAAGGTAGCTTATAGCAGTTCTGGGTGGAACTTAGATTTTCTACCTAAATCTACATACTCTATTTTGTGGCTTAAAATAAAAAGCCTGTTTTTCCTGGGCAGACTCTTCATTACCTTTTTAGCAAACCCAAGCAAGTATAAACTAAAGGCAGGTTTACAAGTTGTCTGTAAGCATAATCCCCAATATTCATTTCTATCACACATGTATGTCTTTTATAACACTAGGTAGAAAAAACATGTATCCATAGTCCAGTCTCATAAGTACAGAATCTTTTTTAAAATACTCAATTCAATTTTCTCTTCTCTACCTTTGGACTGTTCAACACCTCTTTCTGACTTTACAGGAAATACTTCTAATGTTTTGATTAATTTTAATGTTACTATTTACTTTTGGTTAATAAATGCTCTTCTATCCCTAGCTTGCTACAACTTTTCTCTATTTAAATAGGTGTTGAATTTTTTCTGAAGGCTTTCCAGTTCCCCAGATAAAAAGTTATCAGCACAAATCTGACTGATGTTTTTCTCTAGGGTCGCCTACCACAGAGACGGCAAAGTAAACTGGGAGAAATTTGCGAGCCTCAAGAATGATGGATCCCTGTTCAGTTGGAGTCCAACTTCGTACCACAAATGAGTGCCATAAAACCTACTACACTCGTCATACGGGCTTCAAGACCTTGCAAGAATTGTCATCAAATGATATGCTTTTACTTCAGCTTAGAACTGGAATGACACTTTCGGGGAACAATACGATCTGTTTCCATCATGCGAAAGTTTACATTGACAGATTTGAGGATCTGCAGAAGTCATGTTGTGACCCATTTAATATACACAAAAAACTAGCCAAAAAGAATTTGCATGTGATTGACTTAGATGATGCCACCTTCCTGAGTGCAAAATTTGGAAGGCAGCTGGTACCTGGTTGGAAGCTTTGTCCAAAATGTACGCAGATCATCAATGGCAGCGTGGATATTGATTCTGAAGACCGCCAGAGGCGAAAACCTGATTCAGATGTACGTACACAAATTTTTTTTTCCTGCTGTATGCTTTCTGCAATGTAGGCTTTTGCTTGATTAGAAGAATCTCATATTTACATTATCATATTTATTAGCGCACAATGGATATAAAGTTAGGGAGGTAAAGGGTATTTAAATGCTGCTGCTACATTTTCCATATGGTAAGGAGCCATGGTGGCATAGGGGATTACATGTTGGGCTGCTAACTACAAGATCACCAATTCAAAACCACCAGCTACTCCAGGGGGGAAGGATGAGGCTTTCTGCCCCCACAAAGATTGACGGCCTGGGAGACCCCTGGCGCACTTCTGCTCTACCCTATTCAGTCATTGTGAGGCAGAACGGACTTGATGGCAGTGAGTTTTTGTTTGATTGGTTGATTATTTGATTTAAAAAGAGAAGGCTTGGGAAAATAACAATATGATCAAGAATTTTAAGCTACTCCTAATGTTCACACCTTGTGTTTTATTGCTTTAAAATCTATTCTCTTTCTTGTTGAGTTCATGTGTTAACAGAGTGGAACTGGGCTGTCTTAGCGATAATCTTTTTTAAAAATCATTTTATTGGGGGCTCGTAGTACAACTCTTAGCACAATCCATCTATCCATCCATTGTGTCAAGCACCTTTGTATATTTGTTGCCATCATCATTCTCAAAACATTTGGTTTCTACTTGAGCCCTTGGTATCAGCTCCTCATCCCCCCCCATGAACCCTTGATAATTTATAAATTATTATTATTTTGTCAAGTCTTACACTGTCCAACATTTCCCTTCACCCACTTTTCTGATGTCCATCCCCTAGGGAGGAGGTTATATGTAGATCCTTGTAATAGGTTTCCCCTTCCTCCCCCACCTTCCCTCCACCCTCCACTCTCACCACTGGTCCTGAGGGGTTCGTCTGTCCTGGATTCCCTGTGTTTCCAGTTGCAACAGATTTCCAGGCCTTTCTTCCATGCTAACCACGAACTGCAGCTTCCGCGTTAGCAGTTAAAAGTACAACCTGTTTGCACCACCCAGGGACCTCTGCATGTGCTGCAAAGTCAAGACTTAACCAGCATGGTTTCTTTTCTGATAACAAAGTACTTCAGCGAACTATGCCATTATACATCAAGGGTCTACAGATACAATAGCAGCTGAATCTTCCCCCTCCTTTTCTGAAGAACCTGAAAATTACAGCTTTAAAAGGAACATCAGAGGTTACTGTATATACTCGAGTATAAACCGACTGGAATATCAGCCGAGGCACCTAATTTTACCTCAAAAACTGAATTAAAAATGTGCTGGAAAACTCGGCTTATACACAAGTATATATGGTATGTGCAGCCCTTGTTTTTTGTTTCAGCCTTTGGGACTATGCCATCCTTGAGTGGGATTTTTAAATGCTGGTGAGTTTCACTTTTACCTCTGAGTTTATCATTGGTATGGTCAAGGCTAATTTTAGGCCTTTTTCTGGTCAAAAAGCATACATGTTATATAGTAAAATAAAAATACTCTGCAGTTCTCTTCCTGGAAATGGTATATTTGTGCCAGTCACTTGCCTACCAGGAGCCCTGGTAGCACAATGACTGTGCATTCAGCTACCAGCTGAAAACTAGCTCCATGGTTAAGGCCCACCCGCCACTCCCAAGGGAGCGCTCCCTTAAGACGACAGCCTCCTGAGTCTAACGGGGCAGCTCTACCCTGTCCCACGGGGTGGTTATGATAGGGATTGGCTCAGCACCTGACAACAACAGCAACAGTGCAAGCAAGATAAGGTTTCATAAAGCTGCCTTTGATTTATAGGATGAGGATAAGTATGGCAAATGAGCATGTCTCAAAACTTAGAGTAACCATTTTATAATTCTTGCTGTTGGAACATTTTTATTAATTTTCTATTTTTAGTTATGTTAATAAATGTAACCCTAATGCAAGGATCATTGAAATGCTATGTTTCTCTTTGTTTCTCCCCTTGGTTGCTCGTCTCCAGGACCCACTGCCATGTGCAGTTTACACTAGGTGCTTGCTGGTACTGTGGCGGCGATTGTCCAAGCTTGCCTAGCTGTTGCTTGTGTGGGATGTACCACATAAACCTTGTGCCCCCTCTTATACTAAACTTAGCCCCTTCAGCACCAACATTTTATTTTACCAAAGCCTTTTAAAAATATGCTGCTTCTGCTTCGGAACTAGCAAACAAATTACTTCTGCTCTGAAAGCTGCCATCCAATAATAGAACGTGTGAGGGGCTCTGCATCATTAGTAGGAGTCTCAGGTGGATGCCATTGGGTCATGTAGCACTTTTTCTGCTGGCACTGCCATTGCGATGGTCACCATGTCAGCCCTCTGCTTTAAGATGCCAAAAACTAAAGCCCGGTAATGAAAAATCTCATTAATTAATAACATTTAATGAGCTCCCTAGATCTTTTCAGTTTTGTTGCACTTTCATTCTAAAACCTTTTGCTCTCTTGAAGTTAAGATTCCAGGTTATGAATTGGTCTGAATCGTAAGTGAAATATTAATCTATTTACAGTCAAGTGTCACGGCTTGTTTTTCTTTTATTTACCCTTATTCAGGGAAGAACTGCTAAAGCTTTGAGGTCGTTACAGTTTACAAACCCAGGAAAGCAAACAGAATTTGCTCCAGAAACCGGTAAAAGGGAAAAAAGAAGGCTTACCAAAAATGCATCAGCTGGTTCAGACAGGTAGGCTGGCCATGTGTTACTGAGATAGTTGGCTTGCCCGTCACCTCTTTACTGTCCCCCCCTGTGCTCCTACATGGTGGCTTTGAGTATTCTAAATGGAGTGGTCTGGTATTAGAACCTCAGAGAGCCTTGGGTTTAAGTGATGCTTTTTAGAATTAAAATAATCTACTGCTTAAAGCAGATTAACCCTTATTTTAATGTTTTGATGATATGTAGTTAACATACATGTCTACTCTGAGTGACAGCTACAAAGTAAATTTTATGAGGATGGGAGGTTTTTTGTTACCTTTTCATGTATCTGAAATAGAAATGCAGTGCAGGACAGTCTTTAGAGTGGATAGGACAGCTAAACTGTTTAGAATATGACTTTAAATTGAGCATTTCTGAAATATAGATTGATGTGTTAATGTTAATTTCATCAGAATTATTTTAAAATAAAATCAGTTTCCACATATGCCATTAATTCCATCTCTTAAGATTTTCCTCTGAGTGATTTAAATACTTTTAAACCAGAGTTAGTAGCATCTCTTAAAGAATAAGAAGCAGATTAATTGTAGTATAAAAACCAATACTATAGCAAATTGTAATACAAGTAAAACTGTTCACAAAGCACTGAAGAGGTTGGTAGTCCATAAAATGCACTATTATTAGCTAACTATTCTTTTTTTTTTTTTTTTAAGGTAAATAGCTTTGACAGAAATTGCGCTTTTGGGGAAAGGTTTTTGATACATTCCCCTGATGGTGTAGAGGGTACATACCGAATTCAAAACCACCAACCACGCCACAGGATTAAAATGAGTCTTTCTATTCCTGGGAAGCGCTAACAGTGATGGAAACCCACGGGGCCCTTTCCTCTGCCCTGTGTGGTTGCTGTGAGGCAGAATCAACTCAGTGGCGGGTTTATTTACATGTAGTTGTTGAGATGACTTTTCAGTGTTCTTCAGAGCTTTGGGGCTTTGTCTCAACACTTAGAGTTGGTCTCAGCTTTCTGCACATTAATTGTTTTGTAGCTTTGAGCCTAATGGTTCTGGTACCACACTGACAGGCCCTCATACCTAATTCAATGTAGCTCCTTAAAATGTTTTCATTCATTACCTTTTTTCAGTTAAGTAGTCAGGACTGTTTAGTCAGCTTGTGAGATGTGTTTTATCTTACAGACAAGTGATACCAGTGAAGAGCAAGGTCTACGATAGCCAGGGCCTCCTGATTTTCAGCAAGATGGACCTCTGCGACTGCCTGGATGAAGACTGCTTAGGATGCTTCTACGCCTGCCCAGCCTGTGGTTCTACCAAATGCGGAGCTGAATGCCGCTGTGACCGCAAGTGGCTGTATGAGCAAATTGAAATCGAAGGAGGAGAGATAATTCACAATAAGCATGCAGGATAATTGGTGGTATCACACTATAAGGGCCTTTGAAGATCCTTTCTCGTATTTTACAATTCTGTAATTCTAAAGCTGTAGTGTCATTTTAAACTTGATTGCCAAGTAACAGATTTGAAAAGCTCAAGGTGGACAAATGCTGCATTTGGGAGGTTTTCAGATACATTATTCGATTTATATTTAGATGGACACCCGCTATATGTAAATAAGTATGGATAGGCAGTTCTCAGTCTGTACAGTTCCCATACACAGACATTATGGTTACCCTATAACGCAGTTTGAATTTCATTTACTGTGATAGACCTGAGTAATTGTAGAAGGTAGAAACTTCCCTACTCGTCAGTCCCCAGCTGACTAAAAATATAAGATACATAACATGAACTTTCAAAATCTGTTGATGATTGGTCACTGCACATCTACTATCAGTTCACACATAGCAAAGCCTGGAATTGTGCTGCCTCTTTGTCTCTCATGGCATTTTGCAAATCTTGATCATCGAGAGAGAATTAGCCAACAGAGAAGGAACACTGAACGGTGGTGACATTTGAATCAAACATACGCAGAGTTGTAATGGGAATGTTGACACTAGCTCTTCTACGAGATTCTAAAACCAGCCTCCAGATATGCAGCCCAAGTAGCTTTATGAAGAGAAATTTTTAACAGATTAGAAAAAAGTTGTGATGAAAAGGATGAATATGCCTCAGAAATAATGCTGGGGTGGCGGTGGGTGGACAACTTTATGGGAAAGGAACTCTTGGGGCTATTAGTACAGAGCATCAAATATTGGAAGCCAAGCCAAACTTAGAGGTTGACTAATGGATGTCAAAAGTTATTCATGAAAAAGAGAAAGGCACACATACTACTCGATTCGTTTTTTACAATGAGTCCCATACCTTAATTCTCAAGGTTTCTAGTGTTAGAAATCACAGTATATTAAATTATCTTATTGGTTTTTTTGTGTGTTTTTTTAAATTTTTACATAATCAACAATAAGAATTTTTGATAGTTTGGCAAAAATATAGAAAACTCATGGAGCTATCATGATTTAGCCTGTTGATTATTAATACCGTGACCTGTGATATAGTCCCACACTACTGCACTAAACCAGCATTTCCTGGAGCCGAGAGTGGTGCCTGATTTGGGGAAATGGGACTTTGATACAAAGTTGTAGTTAGTTCTGTGTTAAACTATAAGTACATATCAAAATGTTAGTGAATTAAATTTTGTTCCTACTTTTTAAATAAAAATAAATATGTTAATATAAATAATTCGTTATGTATAAGACAGGCATCGCATTCTTGGTAGTTTGTTGGGTGCAAAAAAAGTATTCTTTTTATAAAGTATAACTATATAAACTACTTAAGAAAACATGGATGTGGTATTACATTTTTATGGGAAGAGCAACCAACTAGTAGAAAATTGTTTTAAAATGCTCTTAAAGGAAGTGATAATGGAAACAATGTAGAGAAACCTGATGAAGACATGATGTACTTATATTTTGGCAGTTGAATTCTGATGTTGCCGATAGAATGTGTGTTTGGAGAATGAAGGTGGCACTGGTATTTTTCCCCTGCCCTTTTTCTAAGATCTGTCATTCTACCAAAAAAATGTCTGTCACCTTGGGCATTGCCACTAAATTTGGTGTTTGTTCTGTTTTCCTTTTCCTGAATACAGTATTTCCAATTTAATCAATTGAGCTTGGGGCAATTTGAAATATTTTGTAGCTGTTGAAACATTAAACTTACACAGCCAGTTGAATTGACTATATATACAGTTTTGTTTTGTTTTTTTTTTTACATTTGTTTTAGTTTTTAATATCTTTTTTTTTTTTTAATAAACATTTTATTAGGGGCTCATACAACTGTTATCCCAATCCATACACACATCAATTGTGTAAGGCGTATTTGTACATCATTTCTCAAAACATTTTCTCTCCATTTAAACCCCCGACATTAGGTCCTCATTTTTCCCCTCCCTCCCCGCTCCCCCCTCCCACATGAGCCCTTGATAGTTTATAAATGGGTATTTTGTCATATCTTGCCCTGTCCGACTTCTCCCTTCATCCACTTTTCGGTTGTCTGTCCCCCAGGGAGGAGGTCACACACAGTTCCATGTAATCGGTTCCCTCTTCCCTACCCATTCTCCCTTTACCCTCCCTGTTTTGCCACTCACACCACTGGTCCTATAGGGCTCATCCATCCTGGATTCCCTGTATTTTCAGTTCCTATCTGTACCAGTGTACCTCCTCTGGTCTAGCCAGTCTTGCAAGATAGAATTCGAGTCATGGTAGTGGGAGCGGGGAGGAAACCTTTAGGAACTAGAGGAAGGTTGTATTTCTCATCATTGTTACATCGCACCCTGACTGGCTCATCTCCTCCCCGAGACCCCTCTGCAGTTTTGTTTTTAATCCTGTACCTCTGCTATGATGAGAAATACCTTTTTTTTAAAAAAAATACCATTTGAAACTGTGGAATCAAATGTGATTTTTAAGTTGTGATTGTCCACTGACCTGGTTTATCAGTTCCTTTATCCATGATTCAACTAAGCACTGGTAAAGAGAAGAGTTGTTATTTAACTATTTTTGTTTGTTTGTTTCTGAGTAAAAGTAATACTTTGTTACAGAAAGTAGAGTCAATTTCATCTAAATTTCTAGAATCATTTCTCCCTAAATCTCAACCAATAGCTGTGGAATCAACCCCTATTTACAGCTATGCTCAAACGGGTTTTTGATGGCGGTGGTCTTTCCAAAGTAGATCAGACTTTCCTCTGCAGTGCCTTTGAGTGGCTTCAAACCACTAACTTTTGGGTTAGTAGCCAAGTACTTAGCTGTTTACATCACCCAGGGACTCTGTAACTGTGGCATCAGCATGACAGAGTAGAAGTGCCCTGTAGGGGTTCTCAGGTTGTGATCTTAAGGAGCACAAGCCACATTTTCTCTCAGGGAGCCAATGGTAAGTTAGAACCATTGTCCTTTTGGTTAACGCTGCATGCTTAGTTGGCTCTGTCCCTGCAGGACCGAATGCCTTCTTAATTGTATCACTCGCAGTGGCAGTTTGTTGCTTTCGTGTGGTCATTCTGATTCCACTGGCTGACATTCAGAAGTATGATTTAGTACCTCCCTTAGGCTCTTTATAGGAGTCAATTTAAAACTTTTTTTTTAATTTAAAGCAAATGTCATTTTGCTAGAATAAATTACTTTAGAATTCATGTTAACTATATTTCAGGATCCCTTAATAGGCATTTCTGTGTCATAGTACAAAATTTGGTAATAATTTTTGGGGAGAGGAAAACGGTTTCCCTCTAAGTCTCGTTTGTTTAGCCCTAGTGGGCACAGTGGTTAAAAGTGCTCACTGCTAACAGAAACACAACTTCTTAAAAAAAAAGAAACATAACTTCTTAAATGATTGGCTTAGTGTTTGCAGTGCGCCCTTCTAGCAAACCATACTTTTCACAAACACATGCAAACTATTGACAGGGAATGGTGTGTGTGACTGTAATAAAGTCACTGTCTTGAGAAAATTACATCGCAAGTTCACTTCTATTTTTTAATACCATGCATGATACAGAACTAAAAACTAAACTCAATACCATAGAGTTGACTGAATCACACGATGAAATCTAGATGTTTTTCACTTTCTACAAAGGTGAAATAAGGTAGCTCAGTTATGTTTGAAGGCTGTTAGCCTCAAATGCAGGACCTGGTGGGACGTTCAATGAGTCCTTGTGGCGCAATGGGTAAAATGCTCAGCTGCAGGCAGTGTTTGTGGTGCCAACCCTCGGGCTGCTCCACGGCAGAAGCATTGCAGGCTGCTTCCCGATGGGCTTGTGGCTTATGTGTGTGTGTTGTAGGGTCACCATGAATCAATCCACTTGATGTTTTTCTTTTTCAAGGGCAAAATATTTCCCCCCACTTAGATCTTTAATTTATCCTAGGAAGCCAGGTGCACAGTGGTAAAGAGCACAAGTAGCCAGAACAAGGGGAAGTTTGTCGAAGTGGAGAAAATAAAGGCCACAAACAGTGGTGTTAGAGTAAAAGCAGATGTATATGTTTGGGTAAAAAGAAACTGTATTCCATGTGATCTTTTTTGTATTTGCTTTTTACAGATCTAACTACCTTTGGAGTATTATAGGACACTTCTGTTTTTAAAATATGTCTAGTTCCACAAGCTGTTCACCACCTGACAGTCTATTCTAAAAGTGTTTTCCTGGCACAGATTCAACCAAACAATTTTTAACAGATGAATTTTCAAGGATATATATATACATGCACATATATAGTGATTTATTAATAAGACTATCATTGGTAAGTAACTGCATAATTCCTAACCCTTGGGACATCAAGGACACCTTTGAGAAGCTAAATAAAGCTAAAAACTATCTCTCCAGAAAAATACATGTATTTATATAACAAATTTTCTACGTTCAGATCATCAGAGTAGGTAATGTGATCTATTCTGTGAACCATTTTCAAAGGTGACGATGGACTACAATGTTTGTTTAGCTTGGTTTGTTACACCAAGACAGTTACTGCGAACAAAGCCACAAGAATAGCTCAGGCCTTTGAAAGAGCCATAGCTACCCGGACATTCCAGGGGACTGCCCTCCTCCCACTCCCTCCCATCCCCACAAAGTGCCTATGGTGGAGTCATAATGTATGAAAAGGAGATGTCTCAGCTGAGTTGAGCTTTGGTAATGAGTGATTTTCCCCTCGTATTCATGGTAAACATGCTAGAAATAGCTTAAGATCCTTGTGCAAAATTCATGTCATTGCCTTTGTTTTTGCTGACATCTACTGGTATTTGCATGAAAATAAACTGCTCACCATGCTGCTTCTCTTAAAAATCTCTTCTAAACTAAGCCCTGACTGCTAGTAGTTACATAGCAGCCTGCTGCAGTGGGGTCTCAAATCCTAAGAGTAAACGGTTTCTCTTGGGCATTCTCAGGTCTTGCTCTGCAGCTGTGGTAAGTTTTATTTTTTAAGAACATCAGTGAGCACAAATACAAAAAGATACATGGGCACTTCTGGATTGCTTTTATTTTTGCAAAGTGGAGGGACTTGGGGAAATAATGGTTTTATCTGATTTTTAAAAGGACCATCAAACATTTCATTGAACACTTAGTTTGAAAGGTGTACTATTAGAATATGTGTCCACCAAATTTCAGATATTTGTAATGGCCTAAACAAAAAAACTTAGATCTGTCTCAGAAGAAACCATTTTGTTTGAAGTGGAAGCAAATTTTTTTTAATGAAAGAAAAAGGTAAAATGGAAACCTGGCATTTGTTCAAGGTTGCAGGATCTTTGTTTTAACAAAAAGAATGTTGCAACCAAGATTAGGGAAACCTGAAATGACTCAAAATGCCAAGATAGCTCTTACCTATCCCTTTGGTAGCCACAAGTCCGCAGACAAACAAACATGACTGCCATCAAGTTGATTATGACTCAGTGACCTTATATAGAGTTTCTGAAGCTACAAATCTCTGTGGGAGTCCACAGACTCATCTTCAGGGGAACCACTGGTGAGTTTGAACTGTCAACCCTGCAGTTTGTAGTCCAATAAAAAAAATCTTGCCACCAAGTCTATACTCATTCCAGACCCCTGTAGGGGAAGTAAGGCTACCCCTATGTGTTTCCAAGACTCAATTTTTACAGGAGCCGAAAGCCTTATCTGTCACCTTTGGAGTGGCTAGTGGGTTCAAACTGTTCATCTCAAGGTTAGTAGCCCAGCACACAACCCACTATGCCACCAGGATTCCTTAGCATTAATTATATGGAACAACATTATTAAATTTTGATTTTTATCTCATGCTCTATTGCTCCAAATGTACTACTGGGGCCTCAAGATAAGCTGATTATTTGGTGCTGTAAGAGAAATGGGCACAGTGGTGACACCAATGGGCTCAAATATAGACCAACTGTGAGAGGGACCCAGACCAGGCAGCGTTTCCTTCTGTTGTACATAATAGGGTCACTGTGAGGCAGAACCAACTCCATGGCACCGAGAAACTACATAAACAGTGGGTCACCTGGGGCTGCTAACCAGAGGTGAGCAGTTCAAAACCACCGGCCGCTCCACAGGAAAAGAGGCTGTCTACTCCCATGAAGATTTACAGACTCGGAAACCCACAGGGCCAGTTCTACCCTTCCCTGTGGGGTTGCTAAGAGGCAAAATTGACTCGGTGGCAGTGAGTCATGGCAATAGTGGCACTTGTGAATGGGCTCTGCAAGGTTGTGGGTAAAGTGCAGCGTTTCGCTTTGTTTCTCTAGTTATGAAGGGGAAATTTGCGGAATGTCAGGTAGCCATTTGACTTGGATTCGACTTTTCCTTTCCTGTGTTTCAGTTGAGTGAGGGCAGCTCATTTGCTAAAGAGTTCAAAGTACCACTTTGAAGGGAACTGGAGGAAAGCATCACTTGAAGATTTGGGGTTTGTTGGCTTGTTTCTTTGTTTTGTTTTAGTACATTTCGTTTTAAAAAAAAAAAAAAGATAATGCCAGCAAGTTTCTAGCCATTTATGGCTTAGTGAATGTGACCCTGTAAAGCAAATGTCTGCACACAAAAGGGGCCTTAGAAAATTAATCTTTTTTTTTTTTACTAAAATGTGGCTCATGGCATACCCAAATTGGTATATCCAGCTAAAATTTCTTACTGAAAATGTTTGAACGGGGTTCACTTTCATTGTTATGCTCTATTAGACAGTTTCTGACTGCCCCCAAAGGTAGTTTAACATGTTTCTTTCCTCTTGAAGTCCTGTTGGGTCAAACT